TGCTCTTAGTTGTGACCAGCCTAGAGTGACCCTGAGAAAGTAGCATCACATCTTGCCATATTTTAAGCGGGAGAGGTGCTGACCCCCTCTCCAGGATGGCGGAGAGGGTTAACGCTTTAATGACGGCATTGCGTTTCTCAAGAAGCCCGTCCATAAGTCTCTCAGGTCTGACAGCCGAGACGGATGCGATGATTAAACCTCAGTGGCCTCTGTGGAGTAAGCTAAAACCCAGGGAAGGACATTAGCCAAATCATAAAGCCCCTCCATGCCACCACACTGCACAGGCATTTCCAGCGAGCTCACAGTCCCAGACAGGTCTCAAGGCTTTATTTGGAGCTGTATTGATAGCAGAGATGTGCCTAAAGGATTTTATTCTCAGGAGTTGAAACGATGCTTTTGCTCGTTTTTATTTCATTTTTACCATGTTTTTGTTTGCATGTGTGTATGTGTTTGTATACACACATGCCACAGTGTACGTGTGGAGGCCAGAGGGCACCTTGCAGGACTTCCGTCCTTGGCTCCCAGGGATGGAACTCCGATCCTCAGGTTTAGCCACAAACACCTTTCCTCTTTGGACCACCTCGATGTCCCTGGTGTTTGTTTATATTAAGCGTTATTTTACGTAAGCAGCTTGATCAATGTGTATGGCTAGATACAGGGGTTTCCATTCACTCCCATCACGATAGTGTTAAGGCCTTGGAAGGGCGTTCAGGATATGTATTAAGTGCCAGGTTAAAAAAAAGTCTAGGAAAAACAAAACCCTCTGATATTTACCACACACTGAAAGCCTGTAGCTGCAGGGAAAATCTGGACTCCCAGTAATATTGACCTCCAGAAATGCGCGGGCCAGGCGCCACAGCCACAGGCTTTCTGGCTTTGTTACACTGGTCACATCAGTCAGAAATTGAATTTAGAAACAGGGGGGAGAGCCCGAGATGCAATTACTGCAATAAAGGGCAAAAAAAGCAGAGGCACGCTGTTTCAAGCTTATCCCTTGCCTTTTTCATTGGGAACGTAGCAGGCATTTGTGTACAATGAAGCAAGAAAAACAATAACCTAAAGGTAGAGATGCCATGAGAAATTCTGGTCACCCCTAGCTCCGCTTAAGTAAGTAATCACTGAATGATTGACACATCGCTGGTGCTGCTGACGTTCCCCCGGTTTCACACACTGTGCGCACTTGGGTGCTTCTGTCCTCTTCAGGGCGAGGATGGAGATGTCTTGGATTTCTAGCTCTTGTTTGGTACAGTCAGACATAGTATTTCCTGGTATCTGTTGGTGATGATAAGAAGCTTGGAGAAGAAGAAGGACGGAGGTTATGGATATCACCAGGTGACTCAACCAGAATTAGAAGTTTGTTTGTTTGTTTGTTTCAGCAGTTTTTAATGTTGCCTAGGTTACAGTAAATAAAACAGTCATTTCATTTTGAGTCTGTTTTCCCATGTGCAAAATGATTTTTGATCAGTTAGGGTATGTAGTAATAGAAAGCAATTCCAGATGTCAAATACCTTACTAGGAGCTCATGGAGGTGTGTGTGTGTGTGTGTGTGTGTGTGTGTGTGTGTGTGTGTGTGTGCACTTCCTTACCTAGACCCAAGTTTATCTCATCTGGAATGTCGCTAGTCACCATGACCCAGAGAAGGACATGTGGTAAATCCTGCAAGAGTTCTTAATGACAAAATGGCATGTAATCACTCATCGCATTGGCTAAAACAAGTTACAGGGCATCTCTTAGCTTCAAGGGGGAGGAGAAGTACAGCCGCACTTTGTGCAGGGGAGGCAGCAATACACAGAGTGTTGGTGCAGGCCCTGCTGGCCGCCTCAGTAGGGTTGCCAATGTTTATCTTCCAGGTGGAGTTCCCTCATACACTAACTGTGGGAGAGACAGAGACACTGTTTGAAAGAGGATTGTGTGAACCGATTTATAAAGATTGGAGTGGATCTCTCAGCGTTCTAAAAATAGTTAAATGAATAACTGAAACATTTAAAAAATACATTTGAAACTTGTTTTTTAAACAAATGAAAATGAATGTGCAATATAACAAAGCTTGTTAGAAAACAATGTTAAAAGGAATGCTTATGACAATTTATGCCTGTATTTTTAAAAAGAGAAATCTCGAACTTCTCACTGTTTGAGAAATATCAAACTTCTTCCAAAAAACTCAGGATGCTCAAAAAGGTCAGAGCAAACTAAACCTAAAATTAGTAGAAGGAAAGAAAAATCAAAATAGAAAGAAATGAAATGGAACCCAAGAATACACGAAAGACTCTAGAAACAAAGAGCTGGTTCTCGAAGGCTAAAGCAGACCCTTGGCTAGACTAAGAAATAAAATGGAAAACAAAGTCAGAGGTAAAACAGAGACTGCATCTCTGCATTTTCACTCATAATCAATCACTGCAGATTATCGAGAACTGAGTGATTTAACACCTAGAAGATTCCTTGATGCCAGTGCTGCATAGGGATTGAAGCACCAGGCTCCCTCCTTTTCTCCCCACCTGCTAGAGTTGTGTTTCTTATTCTCCAAAAAAATCCCAGGATTCCTTGAGTCCATTTGATTATAGTGACTACAGTTCCCTTCAAAGTGCCTGTTCCAGTTCCTTCCCCCATGGCCCTAGGTCATCTCTTAAACATTTGGGGCAACCTAGAGATGTCTGATACCTGTGAAAGGAACTGCTAAATTGAAGAGGCTTCCTAGTGCTTTAGAAAAAAAAAAAACATATGTATGGGAAAATGGAGGGAAGTGAGCCAAGCATCTTTGCCCTCAGCTAAAAGGGTTGTTTCCCCTGCCTGTGCTCCCTTTAGCTGCAGGTGCTGCCCCTGACTGAGATTGAGCTTCCCATAGTTTCTCACTCCTGCGCACCCCTCCAGGCAGATTCTTCAGCTGGAACCAGGGGCAAAGGTGGCTCAGCACCATGTGTCATGCTCTCCCTATCCATCTGGTGTCTCCTAAACCCAGCCATCCCCACAGGATCTTTGTTTAGGGTAGGCCAGAGCACTCTGCAAGGACGCCTGTGTTGTCGGCGGCTTTTAGTCACTTCCCTGCCCTTTCCTCATCTAAACACTGAGTCTCCCTTCACTGCGGAAGAGGTGACAGACTAGGTGGTGGTAGTGGCCTGTCATGGCAAGAACAAGGGAGGGAAGCTGGGAGCGCGGAAGCTCATTGTGTGTGTGTTGAGGGGGAAGCACCACACAGACCTGTGTCTAGTGGACTGAGTGTTGAAAGTCAGCACAGCCATGGCGGAGTCCAGAGCAGAGACTGGCATTGTCCTGCCGTCATTTTAAGTTTGATCTTCATGGGAGTGTGTGGTCTATAGGTACATGAAGACAACACAGTCTGCTTGGGGGTGAGAATAAAGAGCAGCCGCAAGAGCTTGTGATGCCCCTCGGGAAGGGAGGGGAGGGAGCAGTAGTCTACATGTAGAGGCTACAGAGAAAGACAGAGGCTGCTGATTTAGTCACCAAAGCTGGTGACATACTATTTTGTGGACTCCTCATACCTCTAAAGATCAGTGGATTGTGAATGAACAAGTCCTAAAATGCACCGACAGAGGCTGGAAAGCTTCCGTTTAGGCGTGGCTCTCTTGGGTGCTAAGGATTAAGCCCAGGGCCTCATCTGTACCAAACAGTGTGCTGCACCAATGAACCATGTCTCCAGCCCCTTAGAAGTGGCCTTGCTCTTACCTCTGGACCCGCTGACTCCAGAGGCTTCTCTGTGAGTGGAGTTTATTTGGTGTGGAGGTTAGCACCGGGCACAGTAGTTGGCATCAGTGTTCCTCTGCAACAGCTCTCCTAAGAAGGTTTATTATAGAACATTCAGAAACCTTGCTTGCCCGATACTTGTTTCCAGAGTCCAGTGGGTCCCCAGGTCCCTGCCCTGGGTGATACCATTGGAAATGTGGCAGATTTAGGGAAGGGGAGGACATCCATAGTGGGTAAGAAGCCTTTTTACCCTTTCCCTGTCACAAGCCTGAAAACGCACACCTGCAGAGCTGGCTGGAGAGCACATATGGCTCTCGGCATTCGGAAAACCTTGTTGAAAGTGAAATTAAAATTTCCCTGCTGGACAGGAAATTAATAACCGCTGAGTTTGTAGCAGACAAGGCCAGAGCTTGGCCACTTGTTCCATCACCTCCTATGTTTCCTTGTTATGTAAATGAGATCAGCTGCTTCAGCCTAGGGGGAATTGAGGAGGGTAGCGAGAAATCGTGGGGGACGGGTTCCTTATGGTTTAAATTCCCTCTGCAAGAGTGTTTCCAATAGCACGCACTTCTTCACTCCATCAGCGCCTAGGCACAGGGAAGCTTCGAGGCCTCTCTTGTCATTATTTCTATAAAGTAGCCTTCGTGGCTATGAAGCATCGCCATTGACTCATTTCACAACACTTCCAGATCACCCACAGTGAGCTGGGCCATATGCCACCAGGGTGGGGGAGGTGACGAGGGCTAAATAATGGAATATCTAGTGTCTGCCTTCTGGGAGTTTACAATTTGGAAGAGGAGGATATTGGATAGCATCAACGAGTCCCCCACCCCCACCAAAACACCCCTTATACCACTGAGTGTTTAGGGTTGAAAAGTAACTGAAGCACACTATGAAAAACGAAGCAGATTGGTGGAAGGAACTAAGGGACAGCCCTTCAAGATTGTGGATGAATCAGCTCTGCAAATGTAGGTGCATTACTTAGGAGCATTTACTCAAGATTCAGAATCTGATGACCTCGTGTCTGTGTCTTGGCGAGGAGCCAACAGGGACTCTGCAGAGGGCGAGGCAGAATGAAGGAATATTAGAAAGGCAAAACCCCGCGCCTCCTCCCAGGGCACTGTAAATTTTAACTGGGGCTACTACAAGGGTTAATTTGGGGTTGGAGCAGGTGAGTGTCTTATTTGGAGAATACCAGTCTCGAGAGCAATGGCTGGAAGCTATGAAAGGCAGCATCGTCCTGCAAAAGGTACGTCAGCACATCCACATGTCCGTCCTCTGTCCTGTGTTCTCGGTCCTAGTGCGAGCAGTCCCACCTCATGAGAGAGCATGAAGACGTCCAGGAGCGCACAACCCTTCGCTATGAGGAGCGTATCACAGAACTCCACAGCATCATTGCAGAGCTCAACAAGAAGATAGACCGCCTGCAAGGCACCACCATCAGGTAGAGCTGCTCCGCTCGGTCTAGCCTGTGTCCTTGGCGTGCTGGAGCTGAAGCAGCCCCGTGAGTCGCCATGCCAGCCAATTACCTTCATGTCTGTTGTCCCCTTCTGATTCTGATCCCCATAACCATCCCAGTCATAGTAGACAGGGTGCGAGTTGTGACCCTCAGTTTATGGCTAAGGGTATAGAATCAGCAGTCGAGTAAAACGTTTTATTAATGAGTCCTAGGTGGGTGCCACCCTGTCCTGAAAGATAACAGTCTGATGTCCTACTGCCTCCCTTGTTCACCAGGTCTCCTCCAGACTTCCTGCCTCCTTTAGTGCTGCTGAGACTCAAGGATGTGGCTAAGGATTACAGCTAAGGTTATATGGTATTCTAGATAATCTGTTAATATTCTGAGATTATCCCAAGTTGTATATCAGTGGGGACACTTATCCTCTTAGCAGATTGCTAAGGCAAGGCTTGATGCATCACTTCCCTGGGAAGAGAGACAAGACCCATCAATTTACTGGTGAGAAAGTCAGGAGTAAAAAGATTGCCAATGGAGAGCAGTTACATTCAGTAGAGAGCAGAGGCGGAGTTGGAGCCCAGAGACTCAGTTTTGGTTAGTTTTCTTTCCCTAAAGATGCCCGTCAGGGACTCTGCCTCCCTGGCTTATCGGTTCATTTGGCTCCTGAGTCTGCAGCACACAATACTCATTTCCCTGCATCTGCCCTCTGGTTCAGGGAGACTTACGGAGGAGCTCACTGTGGTGGGCAGGGAGCATCCTTCTGCAGAGAGGGAAGCCCCTGGTACCTACGTTTCTGGACAAAGGCTGCTTTGTTCGCAGCATTCGCAGAAGCCATAATTGAAAGAATCTCAGAGGCAGCTGCTCTGAATTCTCCCTGGAGAAGTTCTGGCTCACAAGAGACTTTGGACGGATTTTGTTCCAACTCTGAGAGTCGCCGTAATGATGGGGCTTCTTAGTGAGGGTGCTGATGGGCATCTGCTTTCTGGGCAAAATCATGGAAATTTTTACACCAACTTGGAATCACACAATACATTTTATATTCTAATTTAGAACCTTAAGGTTTTAAAATTGTATCCTGGTCTACAGAGTGATTGTGGGTTGGAAATGCATGAGCAAAGAGGAGATTTTTAGCCCAAAGATATGATTATAGTAGATTTCGAAGAGCCTGAGAGAGAACATTGGCAAGTTAGTGATTTCCATTAAAAATGAATTGCACTTTTTAAAACTTGAGACGGTGAAAGGGTATGGTGAGTTGGGAAATAAGTACAACACGTAGCAAGAGGGCAACTCAGTCTTAAGATGTTTAAATTGGATGTAATGTCCTGACTGTTTCGCTTGAATATTCTGTGAGCTGCTTGACCGTAAACATGTATTTGTGCCTCTGATTTAAAGGAAGATCACATCTGTGCAGATGGCACAGTTACCCACTACCTGTATTCGTCATGTAAATAAACTAGCTCCTCCTTGAAGGAACTCCCGGCAGGGTTGTCACATGTGCTATGTGGGCTAGGGAACCAAGATTCTTCCTGACCTCTGAACTCCAGAGGCCAGATGTGGCCCCAGCCTCCGGCACTCCAGAAGTTATATCTGTCCTCTACCTACCCCTGACGTGCTGTGGCAACCCCAGCTCAGGAACAAAACACCAGGGATGGGTTTCTAACTGCTGTGACATATCCCAGGTTCTGTTTGTATCCTTTTTCTGATATCCAAGGTTAAGGAGGCAAAGTACGAGTAGTGGAAGACTGGAGAGATGGTTCAGTGGTTAAGAGCACTGGCTGCTCTTCCAAAGGTCCCTGAGTCAATTCCCAGTAACCACAGTGGCTTACAATCATCTCTAGTGGGATCTGGTGCCCCCCTTCTGACTTAAAGTCATACATACATGCAGATAGAGTATTCATACATAAAATAAATTTAAAAAATAAATACAAATGGCAGTGAAAGGGTTGTATATGTCTTTATCCTCATATGACTTTGAATTCTTCCCCTAGTTATGTACCTAAAAACCCACACCAGAAATGTTTGCTTTTCCTCCTTGCCACACCGAGCTCTCCTAGCTGACAAGTGTTTAGGGAACGTGCATCCACTAAAAAATATGATAGCGGGGCCACAGTTAGCCACGTGGCCCTTTTCAGTACCGAGGCTCTTAGAAACAGAGAATAGTCTTGGTGCCCGTGTCTCACAAAGGAACACATGAACAAAGCCAAAGCAGCTCAGGGAGGCAGCTCTTTTTACAAAAAGGATGCATCATAACCCAAGCGGGGTGGGCAGGCATGGGGGACATGAAATGCACTTGGATTTTCTTCCAGTGCAGGTGTTAGCTGTCTTCTCCCCATTGTCTGAGATCTGACCTCATGCTCTTTCAATATTGCCTAGTATTACAATACTCAAAGCAAACCAGATGAAGGAAGGGAGGAAGCGATAGTTACACAGAAGTTTTACTTGGTGATGGTGTTAAAACATTTGCATAATCGCCTATAAGGGAAGAGATACAAAGATTTGCATAAAAATTTTACAAGGCGGGAGACGTAGGAAAAGTTGAATCCCTTGCAGTAGACAGGTTTTATGCTGTTTGACAGAAAAGACTAGCTGTTCCTTAGAATGCCTTTGAACTACAAAGAAAAAATAGTTATCATACTGGCTGGAGTGACAAGGGAGACATAGGCTGCCGCAATGCCATATAAGGTAATAAGGACTGCATTTGAAACCTGGAATTTGTTAGACTACTGCCTAGAAATTGTGAGAAGTTGGAGTTAATAGATTAGAGAGAGCTAATACAGGGATAGACCTTTTGAGGATAAGGGTTTTTGAACTACTTTATTAGATAAAACGCTAATTCTGGGCTGGAGAGCTGACTTGGTGGTTAAAGGCACTTTTGCTCTTGCAGAGCAAATGAATTTAATTCCTAGAATCTATCTAGTTGTTCGGAGCCCCAGTAACTCTAATTTGGGGAGTCTGATAGCTGTTTTTGGTCTCCTTGGGCACCAGGCACATACCACATGGTACATGTACATATAAGCAGGCAAAACACTCATGCACATAAAATAAATCTTTTTAAAAAAAGAAAGAAAGAACTAAATCTAAGTGAGAGGTGCCTAAGTGAGGTCTCCGAACAGTAGGTGTTATAGCTGATGATGTCATAGGTCTCCCATATTTAGGAGCAGCTGAACTCATTCCATTGACCAGAGGGACAGTTGCAGAAGGTTGAAGCTTTTGCTGTTGTGGTTGAGAAATTTTACTGATCAAGAGGACTCACTGGATGGTTACTGAGCAGTCATCGGGTGTAGATGGTTAATGGCTGTCTTCTGGCCCAAGTACTGCCGTCTCTTCTTCCTTTATTTCCACAAATCAAAGGCATTCTGAGCCCTGGGGTTACTCCAGAGCCCCTCCCAGCTGTGTTCTGGATAATTTCAGTCTGGTGGACGAAGGGTCTGGGAGGAAGGAGAGGCCGTGAGAGTGGCAGCAGGCATGCAGTGTAGATGCAAGGGTCTGCCTTGACTGGCCAGACACACAGTTCTGGGGCAGTATGGAGCAGCAGCCACAGGTGCCCGATTTCCTGGGGCCCAGAGCTGGGGTAACAACTTGACAGGTCCTAGTGGCCTCTACCCACCCACCTCTGTCTTCTCCATTCTTCCACCGGATTTGCGAGCACAGACCTGCCTGGTGTCATGCTGTCTGTTTGAATCTTTTAGTACAGTGTGTTTTCCTCTCCGATCCCTGCCAAATGCACCCGAAATCTCATCTCCCAGAGGCGAACCCTGAATGTTTTGTGTATATGTCCTGAACATTTTTCTACTGACTCTCTTAAACATACTGGATCATGCAGCACACCACACAAATGGCTCTGTAACATGTGCCTTTTCACTTCACAGTATATGATGAGTGCCTTTTTAAAGATGTTTGACTTGTGGAGATTTTATAATGGGATCGAAAATATGAAAAAGGAAACATGACTATAGAGCACTTTGGATCCAAAAAGAGAAGGAATGATGTCTAAGCAAACGGAATGTGAGATCTTTTCTTTCCCATAGGCAACTCTTGTAGTACCAACCTTTTGCCGCTAACCCTCACAGTTCATCCCATTTGCTCTGAGCTCCCTGCTTTCTGCCTACTTGCCCAGCAGTTTTACCCAAGCCCTGTTTTCTATAGGGCTCCGCTCATTGTCGTCACTAGAGTGATGTGTGGAGAGGGGCCTGTGGGAGCTGATTGGGGTCAGCTGAACTCATGAGGGTAGGGCTGCCATGGTGGGTTCTACCTTCATGAAAAGAGAGGCCAGAGAGCTGATATGTGTGACCGGGTCCCCTCCTTTGCTGCCGTGTGGTGATACAACTAGAAGGCCACCATCTGCAAGCCAGGCAGAGGACCCCTCCAGAAAGGGACCGTGCTAACAACACTTTTAGGCTTTCCAGCCTTCAGAACCATGAGAAAACATATTTCTGTTGTTTAAGCCACCCCGTCTGTGGTGCTCTGTTTTGACAACTTGAGTAGCATAAACTGCTATTGATTTCTCTCTTTGTCCCGAATCTCCTCCCCTCCTCTTCCTTCTCTTCCCCCCTCCCTCCTACCCTTTTCTCTTTTGCAGTACTGGAGATAGAACCCAGAGCCCCATACATGCTATGCACATGGCCTCCCATGCCAGCCCACCAAGGTTTATTGACTTATTTTGAGATAGCCTCTAGATAGCTGTAGAGCCAAGCTGGGAATCCTAGTTTGCTTTCTGTTGCTGTGATAAACATCAGAAGCAACTCAGGGAAGAAAGGTTTCATTTCATCTTACGATTTTGCCATCAATGGAAGCCCAAGGGAGGCGCTCAAGGCAGGAGCTTGAGGCTGAAATCACCGAACGCTGCTGACTGGCTTGGTCACCCGCCTGCCTTCTCCAGGCCCAGGCCCAGGCCCACTGACCCTGACAGTCACAGCTGACCTCCAGCTTGCTGTTTTGGCCTCTCCTGGGTAGGTGTTACAGGTAACTCACCACGCTCAGCCACTAATGAC